GATTGACTTTGGCATTAGAAGCTAGACCGTAGCAATCCAATAAAGATTTCAAAACCGGCCATTCACCTGGACCAGTTAAAAACACCTCCAAGTCATCAGCATAACTTAGTAATTTGACAGGACGAGGAGGGTTCACCACCGACTGACTGATAAAATCGCGATCAGATGAGCTAGGAGTATCAATCCACACCGGTAGAACCAGAGGACACACCGCCGAAGACACCGCACCACCACCAAGAGAGACACCAGAGAGACCAGAGCACGCTAGAATGGACCGAAGAAGAGGTTCAAAGGCCAAATTAAAGAGCAGAGGAGAGAGAGGATCACCTTGCCGTAGACCTCGAGACTGAGGTATGGGCATTCCTAACCAACCATTGATAGAGATGGATATCTCAGTACCAAAGAACAGAGTACTTAGACAATCCACCAGCGTCAAGGGAAAACCAAATCGAAGAAGCACCTTGCGGAGATAATCCGGATGGACCCTATCATACGCCTTTTCTTGATCCAGCAGAACTGCCACCTGAGGAACATCAGGAGCCACATCACGAGCATTAGCCATAAACATTTGATTTAACCAACCATTGTCCGAGATCAATCGATGAGGCATAAAACCAGTTTGGTAAGGATTAATCAGCTGAGGAAGAACAGAATTAAGCCTATTAGCCAGAAGTTTTGTGAACAACTTTGCATCGCTATTGATGAGAGAGAGCGGGCGCCAATTCTTGAGTAACATTGGATCACCTTTCTTGAAAAGTAAGACCATCCTAGTTTGTTGCCAAGACGAAGGAAACACACCGATCAAAGCATCATTTAAAATACCTAGCAGCATCGTACGAAAATCAGCCGAAGACTTGAATAGGTATTTGTACACCTCAAAAGGAAGACCATCCAAACCAGGGCTTTTACCAAGGGGAGTATGACCAACCAAATCTTGCAGAGTATCCATCAGAATAGGATCTGTCAGCGAGTCTGAATCTTCTAGAGACAACACCACATCATCAGGAATACTTGCCAACAGAGAGTCAACAGCTGCATCATCAATTAAATCGGGTGTGTATAGCTCCTGGTAAAAACCTCTTGCTTCCCGAATAATATCATCTGAATTCACCAAGACAGAACCAGTAGCGGAGCACTTTAAGGATTGTATAGTCTGTTTAGACTGACGCTCCTTGATAACTCGGTAGAAATACTTGTTGTTACGTTCACCCAGTTCATGCCAGCGAGTAGCAGAGCGAAGCATACATTCACGCGTTTCTTTCTGAATCTGATTGTCAATCAGTTGATCTAGCTCTTTCAGTTTCGAGGAATCAACCAAGATACTTCCAGAACCAGACTGAGTTAACACAGCATCACTAGTGATAATGCCCGACGCAGTTGATAGCAGAAGTGTACGTTCCTGTTGTAACGAAGCAACTTTGTTCTTGAACCGAGCCTTAGCACCTCTAGTGTACTTCCGTGCGCAGCACTTCAGTAACACTTTGAAAGATTCCCATATGTCTTGAACAGGCACAGGTTCACCCCCACCACCGTCACCAGGATTATCAACACAAACAATGGAATCAAAGAAGAGCGCCACGGTCTTATCCAGCAGAACCAGGAACTCAGCATCATCCAATAAAGTAGGGTTGAAACGCCAACAACCAGGACCAATATCAACACGGGCAGGAACAAGATCGATTGATAGTAAGCAATGATCTGTATACGCCGAAGGGACTTTTCGAATCATACCATTAACCAGTCGAGTAGCCAGAGAGCGATGACCAAAGACATAATCAATAGTAGTTCTTGAGTTACCCTGCGTGTGAGTAGGAAGACCAGAAGGAAAGCAATTGTCGAAATGACTACGCACCCAATCAAACCAGAAAGACACAGTGGAATGACCAGTAACCTTGACATTATGAAGATTCATGTTGAGATCACCCATAAGTAGCCAAGGCGCAGTAGACATGTCAGAGAAAAAAGGAAGAGAAAGAAAATTGTTCAAAAACAGAGGACGGTCCGAAGACTGTGCCGGTACGTAAACAGAGGCAACGCGACACAAGACATTATGCTGAAGATCCATAACTGAACCAACAACACAACGCTCGTCCAATGAAACAGCAGTGTCATCCAGATAGAGACCAGAATTGAGACATACAATAGCACAATATTTGGAGACAACCACCGAACAACGAGGAAAAAGAAAGGAGCAGAATTGAAGCATTTGATCATCAGTAAGATGGGCTTGATGAAAAGAAGAAACTTCTTGAATGCAAAGAACATCCAGAGACAAAGAACGATTGCGCAGAAAAGAAATAAATTCCTTTTGAATTTGAGGGCTCGTCGACTTGAAAATGCTGCGCGCATTAAGTGAGCCCAAGCGAAGAGGTTTACCTAACATTGCGCCTTATCGGCAGTCTGTTGGAGTTTCTTTTTCATATGAATACTGGTATATGGCGGAGGCACACCCATTTTCTTCGAAGAACTAGATACTTTTTTCACGCTACCGCCAGCAGGCTGAACAGTCTTTCCTTTCTTTGAGCCAAGAATTCGACCACCACCACCAACAGAGTTCCTTCCAGTTAGACTAGCACCAGCAATAGAACCAGCACCAGCACTAGCACCAGCACCAGACATATCGCCACCAGCACCAGACATATCACCACCAACACCAGACATATCACCACCAGCACCAGACATATCACCACCAGCACCAGACATATCACCACCAACACCACACATATCACCACCAGTTCCATAGGAAACAGCACCGAGACTAATATCACCGACCTGAGACACCTCACCAACATCAGAGTTCACACCGGAACCACCACCAGACCCAGAGGCACCAACCGACACATCACTAGACGTACCAACTGCCATGTCTTCATCTTCACTCATGTCATCGCACATGCTAGACCCGATTGTCTCAGCTGACTCGCTAACCTCAAGCTGCACCTGAGGGACAGACTCCATGTCCACATCAAAAATTGTAGAACCCGAAGCCCATTTCGAAGATTTGGTGCCTTTATCAAATGTGGCAGCTTTTTCACCAGCTACAGAACCATGAGGATCAGCCGTAGATATATTAATACCATCATCTTTTGTGCGATTGCAGGCGCGCAGATACTCGTGCAAATCAACGGCGTCGCTGTTCATCTTTTTGGCCTTACAAAATTTTGCGGTATGACCATGACCATTACAGCTAAAACACACCCGTTTGGCCAGTTCAGGACAGTCCTTTCGAAGATGACCAGCCATTTTACACCAATGGCAGACAGGAAGAGCACCTTTGAAGGAGGCAGCAGCAAAACAATCCCATTGTTCTAGGTACAAACTATTGGACAGAGGTTGGGCTTTTAATGTTTCACCAAGATCATTCTGGTAACCTTCAGAAACATCCAACAAAACAGACACCTCACCCTCAAAAAAACCGTGATACGTGAACTTCTTGATCTGATACACCTTACCATAATACTTAAGAGACCGTTTCAAATCGGCAGCAAAATTCTCTTCATCAGGTATTCTTAGCATGCTCAACTTGATATGCACCAAATTACTATTTGACATACCATCATGTGAAGGGGAAGCTTTGAAACAAAGTTCACCAACCATTACACCTGTTGAGAGAGCCTTTGTTGTACTTTCGGGGCGCGAAAACTTCACTTCCACCAGAAGATCACCAGTTGACTTACCACCATACATACTAAGGGGTCGAACACCCGAGATCTTACCACAACTGGCCTCAATGGCCGTATAAGCTTCTGCCCGAACTTTAAAAAGACGAGCCGGAAAAGAAAAAAGAACCGAACCAGGAGTCAAAGCCTGACGCACAATAGCAGCAGCTTTACGAGCCAAGATTTGAATTTCCAGGTCAATATGTTGGTAAATTACCGTACCAGAAAGCTTCGATTCCAAGTCTTGCACCTTAGAGCGATACATTGGACGAACAATTTTATTGGACGCCCCACGAGCAACAACAGTTGTCCAGGACAACCGATCATTTGATTCCATGTCATTCATTTTCAAAATTGGAATCAAGAATTGAAAATTGAGAATTGAAAAAAGTTTTTTGTTCGAAGATTTCTATAAATGTCGAGATTGTAGTCGAGATCGAAGAGATGAACGAAAGCGTAATAATTGAAAAAGATAGAGCTTGCAAAGACGCGTCGAATGCAAAAAGAAAATTTGATGGATGGATAGAATTCACCGAGATATCGTCGAAACAAGTTTTTGGATGCAAATACCTTTTGTAAAAATTCTTTAAGCGAAAGAAAGCCCCCTTGGATGCAAATACCTTTTGTAAAAATTCTTTAAGCGAAAGAAAGCCCTTGTTTTCCTAGCACTTTTACTGGCTAGATTTGGCCCGACTATAAGCGTACCGTCGATTTCAACATAAAAAAAAAACTTCAATTGCTATACCGGGATATGTGGCAAATTGCGCCAGATGTATGTTAAACGTAGTAAACAAAACAAACGTTTTAAAGTTGTAACAAAGTAAACGCCGAAATGCATTGTAATATATATGCAGGTTTTTAAATAATTAGCTTTTAACAAACCGGGTTTTAAATTATTTAACCACCGATTGACCACTTTAATTCGGGAATTGTTTTTTCACCCCCTCTTTTCTTATTTTCACCCCCTCGATTTTTTTTTTTTTTTTTGGCCTTTTTTGAACTAAGAAACTGCGGATTTGATTTCACTTAAATTTTGACATTTTGGCGGGACTGCTCTGTCAAAGCATTAATAAATTGTGCTTTCTTTCGCTTAAAGAATTTTTACAAAAGACTGCTTTCTTTCGGATCCCATCCATCCGTCATCAAAAATCGTTCAATCCGTTCAAATTTTTGTTGTATTCGACGCGTCTCAATCAGCTCTATCTTTTTCAATTACTACGCTTTCACCAATCTCTTCGATCTCGCCTTCAATTTCGACATTTAAGACATTTGTGAAAACATTTTCTCGTATTTGCACAATTAAAATCGACATTCTTAATTTTTCCTCTGGATCATTTAACAATGTCAACTCAAGATCATGTTTCCTGGTCAACTGTGGCTTCTCGTGGTGCTTCCAAGAAAGTCCTGCGTCCTCTTCCTGTCTCTGCCGAGACTGATTCTCAATTCAAGTTGAAAAGTAACACCCTTTTCCATCATCCTGAACTTGATTACCAAATTATGGTACGCCAAGCTGCTTCTATTGTCAAGCAAGCACTGACGCCTGGTTCTGTTTTGTTTTCGTTCCCCGCTTCACTTTTTAAGCATCGGACAGAAGCTTATGAACTCATTGAAGATCATTGTGGTGCTGTCCAGGGATTTCGTCCTATTAGCAATTATGGTACTCGCTCTGCTGGTGAATTCATGGTTGAAGTTAAGTTTGTAATGCCAACAAGCACTACAAAGGCAATCACTCACGGTGTTAGTTACAAGAACTTGTTGTTTAAAGGCTCTCCTTCTGTTCCTAGAGGCAACAATACACTTGTGCATGTCAAGATGACTCTTTTGCGAATTCCGGACAAGGATACGTTTCTGGCGGATCTCAAAAGATCTCTGCGTTATTACGGTGAAGTGTACCAGGTGAACGAGTACACTTGCGGTGGGTACTTTGAAGGTGAGCTGTCGGTTATCCTTGATATCTCGGCTGGCTATATTGATGCTTCTGGTGATAAGGTCAAGAATGAGCCACTTACAAATAATTTGTACTTGGAGGAATGGGACTGTTTTGCTTCGGCAACATTTAAAGGTGCACCCACGGTTTGTCACTGGTGTCGTTTGGCTGGTCACGCACGGTCCAAATGCCCGGATTTGGCTAAAACCAAATGTTTCTCATGTCATGGTAGTGGACATACCGCCAAGTTTTGTAAGAAGAAAAATCTTGGTGTTACAGAACTGCCTGTTATGGATGAGATCTCAACTGATCTTCCCTCCCCCACCGTTGAGAGCCCCCATGCTCAAGTCCTGTCTGACTCGGACACAGATATTTCGACGTGTCTACGTCCCCCAAGTTTGAACCAAGTGGCTCTGCAGCTTCTAAGTTTGCAACCACTGTTGCGAGTGTATCCATGGAGGTTGACAATCACGTGAATACTACCACTCCTGCCTTCTTCGACGGCTGGTCCGATGGTCGAAGTTAATAGTGGCGCTATAAAAGTTGCTGGTGCCAAGCGCTCGGTTTTAGGTAAGC